TCTTATGAACAAAGGTTACATGAATCTCTCATTTTAGCTCCACTCAAATACCTTATGGCTCTTTTTTGCAGCACAAAAACACTATCAAACAACTGAGCAGAACATGTACCCCAAAAACACAGTCCATATCTTAAGTGACTTTCTATGAGTGAGAAATATACATTTCTCACGGTCTGTGAATCAAGCTCTCCAGAGAGAACTCTCATTGCAAAGCAGTTGGAAGCAAGTTTTTTCCTAAGATTTTCTATGTGTGATTGGAATTTAAGTCTGCTATCAATGAGAAGCCCTAGAAATTTATTCTCATTGGTGCTCGACAAGGATATGTCTTCAAGTTTGATAGGTTCAAGTGTGCACCTAAAATGCATGACATTAGTTTTCGATATATTCAGTGTTAACTGATTAGCGTCAAACCACTGCTTGAGAGCAACTATGTCCCTATTTATTTTGTCACTCAAGAAACCCATACTAGTGTCGTGCCATAATATAGTTGCATCATCCGCAAACAATGTAAATTTCCCTGAGATGCCAAGATCAGTTATATCATTAACATAAATTAAAAACAATATTGGACCAAGAACAGACCCTTGAGGCACCCCATACTGTAATGTTCTCTGTCCAGAAACATCACCTCCAAAGCGAACACTTTGAGTCCTATCCTGCAAATAACTCTCAAACCATTTATAAGAGGATCCCCTAAATCCATAGGACTGCAGTTTCCAGAGCAATATTCTGTGACTGACACAATCAAAAGCTTTCGTGAGATCACAGAACACCGCTGCGGCAACGTCATTGTCAAGAAATTTGGAATATTGTTAACAGTTTGAGAGGCAGTAATGTGAAGCCTGCTTGTGTGACTGAAATAGATTCTAATACATTTAATAATTTTTATTGCTCAGTGGCCGAAAACTTAATGTCTGGATTGTCATCAGATATAGATCCTATGAGCTATCTAAGGAATGTTTCTGTTCCAAATTCTTTTGGCTTCTACCACACAGATGTTGGTGAGATAAAAACTATATTTAGGGAAATAAAAAACAAAAATTCATCGGGGATAGATGACCTGTCATTAAGGATATTTAGCAACTTGCCCGACTGTGTGCTGGAGTTGCTTGCTGGGTTTATTAATTTATCTTTTGATATGGGTACCTTTCCCGAGAGTCTGAAGACCGCTCTGGTAAAACCAATTTTCAAAGGCGGAAGTACGGACGATCCATCATGTTACCGCCCTATATCTCTGCTGCCAACACTCTCTAAGATAATAGAAAAACTTGTTAAGTCTAGGATGGTCTCTTTTCTTCGGGCTCACGGGTTGCTGAATGTCAACCAGTTTGGATTTCAGGACAAGAAGAGCACTAGTGATGCAGTATTCAACTTTCTTCAGAGGCTGTATCTTGGACTGAATCAGGAGGAGATCGCGGCTGCGGTCTTTTGCGATTTTTCCAAAGCCTTCGATTGTGTAAGCCGTAAGATATTACTCCAGAAACTCTTTCATTATGGATTCAGGGGTAACACTTTGAGCTGGATACAGTCTTATCTGACAGACAGAAAACAGATTGTTAAGGGCCACAACGATGTATCATCGGTACGGAGCATTGACCATGGGGTGCCCCAGAGGATCAGTGCTTGGTCCCCTATTATTTTTGATTTACATTAATGATCTAGCTTGCATCAACATTGATGCATCAATTACACTTTTTGCTGATGATACTACCATCTTATGGCTGGGATCAGACAAAGTCACATTGGAGGATAGGATTGGGCAAGATATGCGCAAGGTAAAGCAGTGGTGTGACTCCAATAAACTATCTTTCAACATATCGAAAACAAATTTACTCTCCTTTAAGTGTTCTGTGGCAAATATAACTTTAAATGATGAGCCACTTGCTAATAGGGATTGTTCGAGGTTCTTGGGCTTAGCTATAGACTCTAAGTTGAAGTTTGGTGAGCATATCAATGACTTGCGAAAAAAACTAGCTCCTGCATGTTATGCGTTAAGGACGGTTCGTAATGAGTTGGGTCATGACATTGCAAGGGGTGTGTACTTTGCACTTGTTTAGTCACGTCTCAGATATGGCATTGAATTTTGGGGTTTTGCCAGTGGTCAAATAGTTAATTCAGTTTTTGTTTTACAAAAACGGGCTGTTCGTTTATTGTGTGGAGTCGGCTCTAGGGAACACTGCCGGCCTCTGTTCATCCGGGAGGGAATTCTTACATTGACCTGTATTTCTATTTTACTGACGGTGGGCATGGTTCACAAAAAATATAAAGGATCAGATGACAATAATGACACCAGGACAACTAGGTTCAACAGCAACAATCTGAGTCTGTGCATCCCAAGGAGTGCATTAACAAAAAACTCAATAATATATGAGGGGAAAAAGATGTATAACCACCTGCCTCTTGAGATCAAATATCTAGACAATAGTATCCTTTTTGCTAGAAAGGTGAAACAGCTTCTGCTCTTAAAAGCATATTACTCTCTGGAAGAATTTTATGGCGATAGGCTCTAGCTTTGGCGATTGTATGAATTATGATGTCTATCTGTAACTTGAAAAATACTTTGATCTTTATTTTTGTTTGTTCGCTTTTTTATTTTTTTATTTGTATGTACCATATATAAGAGCTTGACTGGATTTGTGAATGACATTTTGAGTAGCAGTTTTTGGTTTTTTAATGTTTTTATCTTGATTGTCTTTGTTAGTTTTTAGTATTTTAACATGTAACGTTTCAGTGTCTCCTCATAATGTTTTTGTATTATTTTTGTATTATTTCCATTTTAGCTTTGTAAATAAGGGTCTTAAGGCCTTTTTGTACAATAAAGCATTTTTTGATTTGATTTGATTTGATTCAGTCTTAAGAAAAGTTCCTCGAGGAATGCAAATATTGCATCGGAAGTCCCCCTGGAAGCTCGAAATCCATATTGTTCGGGACTAAGAATCTTTTTTTCATTCAAAAATGAAACGATTCTTTTTTTTTCTAGTTTCTCTACAATTTTTGATAGAGTCGGCAACAGGGCTATAGGTCTATAGTTTGAGGGATTTTGTTTATCGCCCGCTTTAAATATTGGGATTATATTGGCCCTTTTTAGACAGTTCGGAAAAAACCCATTTTGGAAAGAATTATTGATAGCATAAACTAATATGTTTAAAACATTGTCAGGTAAGTTCCTGAATAATTTGACAGATATATCATCCCACCCCGAAGCATTCTTATTTTTAATTTCATTAAATGTAAACTTAACTTCGTTTACATCTGTAGGCACAAAAAAAAATGATTCGCGTGTTGATGAATATTTGAAAACATGTTTAAAATCGTGTGCAATGCCAATTTGGCTAGAGAGATTTTTAGCAACAGAACAGTAAAAATTATTAAAATCCTGAGGTGAAAGTGTGGTATCAACATCTGAATTTTCCCGTTTTTTGCCAATTAGCTCATTAACAATTGTCCAGGATTCTTTTTGTCTGTTACTGGATTCTATTATTCGTTTTCTATAGTACTTATCTTTAGCTGCTTTCACCAACCTACGATATATAGCCCTATAATTTTTATAATATGTCATGAAACAAATATTACTGATATAAAACTTACGGATGTAATGCAGTGAACGCATATTTTTTGAAGAAATCCTAATGCCCTCTGTTAACCATGGCTTTTTTTTATTTATTTTCAAGTTTTTTATTGGAAATGCTTTATTGAATATAGAGGATAACTTTTCATGAAAAGTTTCCAGAGGTTTATTGGAACTAAGAACTGCTTGCCAGTTATCACAGGCACACAATTCAGAGAGCTTATCATAATTTCTTGCACTGAATATCCGTCCCTTTCGTTTCAATTCATTACGTCTTCTGGTTCTGATCTTAAATCTACAAAAAATGGCCTCATGATCTGAAAGACCTGCATTTACAACACTTACACTACTATCATTTCTTTCAAAATTTGTGCATATGTTATCAATAGTAGTGGAAGAGTTAGGGGTTATTCTGGTGGGAGTATCCACCATGACATGCAAATTAAATGAACCCAATAAATTAACCAACCTTTGGGTGTTCCTATCAGCAGCCAAGAAATTTATATTGAAATCACCACCCAGCACTATTAATGAATTACAGCTCAATTGCCTTAGAATGGTCTCAAGCTTGAATAAAAAATCCTCTACATTCCCTATGGGAGATCTATACAAACATAGAACATACAAATTAACTTGTTTACAAAATACGACTGAAACCTCAAACACTCTTTCTTCAAGCAAATGGTCAAATTTATTAATGTCAGAAAAACGAAAAGATTCCATAAAATCATTGTTTAGTAGAATAGCTGTTCCTCCATGTATCGAAGTTATTTGGCAATATTTACTTAAAACAGTATACCTTGTTAAATTAAAAGGTTCTTGAGGCTTCAGCTTCAGTTTAAAAATGCCTATTTATCCCTAAACTCTAAACACACCTGCTTCTTTACCTACCTTTTTATTACAGCCACAGGTAAACAAGCAGGTGTTTAAGGATAAATAGGCATTTTTAAACATTGAAATGGTTGTTATTTTGCGACAGTGAGGTCAAATTTAAAAAATAGGACGGCGAAATGTACAGATTAAGCAGCCCTTTAAAATGATCTATCGCTCGACCCCCTGTCTCATTTGAAAATTTTGCGTTGGTAGCCCTAGGGCTTAGGGGGTTGAAGGAGTGGAGTCCAGTTTTACGTGAAAAACCTTCCCTCTCAATAAATTTATTGACGTGTTTCGGCGATTTCCAGAAATATGCCTCTTTACGCTGATGACATAGGTGGCAAGTTTTGAAATGAAAGCCCTGTATACCATGTTGAATACTCTCCTTATAATAAAGCAATGTTAACAAGTTGAAATCATTTTTTTAAATGAAAATGTGAAACGTTGTTTATTAATTAGCAGTAGTTATTGACACGGATATTTTTCATTCATGCTGTTTTGGCTTTGCTAACTTTATTAAGTATATACTTGACATCAGATTCATTACCTCTATCCGTAGGTGTTTCTGTATATAATTGGGAAGAACAGAGAATAGCAGATGATGAATTTCTATTACATTTAGAAGATCTTAATTATATTGAAACTTTAAAAAACGAAACCATGTGTTTATCTTGTGACCAAGGGCAAAGTTCCCAAAAAAATACCAGAATTTGCAAGGTTGGTATTAAAAAACATGTCTAATAAATAACTGATAGCAAATTATACAGGATCTTAATCTTGTAGTGTGGTACAGGTGGTATCACAAATAAAACGCTTGATAGTTGGGTGCCATTCATAGAAAAAGATGATTTATTAGTGTGGCGACGTCCTCACGGTTCTGAAGGTCTATATGAGTACAAAGTTTATGGTTCTTATCATGATGTTACCGCTGAAGACTTTTTAAATGTCCAAGTTGACACACTTTACCGTAAAGAGTGGGATACTACTGCTGTCCAATTGGAAGTTGGTGAAAGAGATCCTATGTCTGATTCGAATAGTGACATTCTTTATTGGGAAATGCAATGGCCTGTAATAATTGATGTTCATCCTGATAAGCTGTATTAAAAATAACTGTTTTTAGCGTCTGTTTGTCAACAGAGATTATGTTTTTAATAGACGATATAAAGTATTTGAAGAGTCAAAAACAATCATAATGATAAACAAAACAACGACTTATCCAAAATTTCCAAAATACCCTGATAAATATCGAGTGGAAGAATATTGGTCTTGTATGGTCATCAAGCCATATGAGGACATGAAACAATTAGGTATTTATCATCATCAATATTCTATATAACATTATTCAAACGGATTTTCAGGTATTGAATTTAGTCTAACATATTTTGACAATCCTGGTGTGAACATACCCTCTTCAGTAACCTCTTGGGTGGCTAAGAGTGCAATGCCAGACTATTTATCTAAACTGAGGAAGGCTAGTAAGAACTATCGGGACTTTTGCTTAAGAAAAGGTAATTTTTAAATTGTTTATGTTTTCTACCACTCTTAGATGATATATTTTTCTTATCTTTCTACCATGTAAATGACGTCCTAACATGCTATGACCTTCCAATGTTTTTTAATTATTTTTGTATGTATCTATCTTCCAGACGAATAATATATTAAATAGTCAGAGCTTCACATAGCCCAATCAAATTCACTCAAAAGTTTCTATTTTATTTTTGTCTTTTATAAATAAATTGGGATATGCTGGCAATCTAAGAACTGAAAAAACACTTTCACATGCAGATGAAAAATTGTTAATAACTTGTAAATTATATAATATGTTTACTTTTTTTACACACCACTTCAATCCTTGTCCTTCTAAAATTTTATTTGAATTTCCCATAAACGTCAATTCTTGTTCTGTAATCTGCTAGAATTTTCCATTGACAGTAAATTCCTTTCTGAAAAATTCTAGTCGGGATCGAGCATGCAGGGGTTGATCAACGGGGTTTGCTTGATAAGTAGAAAAAGCGGGCATCTGGGCTATCTCTATTATTTTAAGCACAAGGGGCTAAAATTTTTAATTTGGTGGACACCCCTGGGGACCTCCATGCGGCGATGTCGGATTGTGCACAATTTCCCCAACTTAGGAGAAAACATGAATTTGGCAACTATCATAAAAAAAAGAAACGTCATTTGCCTGGTAGAAACTGGAACGAATAACAATAATTCTCGTTCAAGTGGTACTGCAGATGTGCTTTTATATTACTTCACCTCAATTTATTTATTCCATAAAATATTTTAAGATAGATTGGAACTATTTGGACATGCATATTGGATTACCATTATGTAAACATATATTTTTTTTTAGTGAGGAAAGTCCAGTAAACTTTTGTTATTTAAATTTAATTTTTTTTTTTTGCAATTTCAGGTGTTAGCAAAGCTTGTGAGGTTTACAAAAAAGAGGATAAAGAACGTAGAGAGGAAGAAGAAAGAAATAGATTGGAATATTGTAGCAATGAAAAATTAAGATTTATTATACAGGATATTCTGGATGACTTTCATAAAAAAGCTAATGAGAAATTGTTTAGAAAATCAGAAATAACAGATTCGGGTAATACATTTATTTATCATTTTTGCTGGCTGTAGTTGATCTCGGTTTTGTTTTTCAGGGGCCTTAGAAATAATATCAGATAGACGCCCAACGTCCGAAGATATGAGCCAATCACAACAAGCCACCAACAATAATTCAAAACAGACACAGCGACATAACTTTTGGAAATATTTACACCCAATGTATTATTTTACCTAAAATTTTTAAAACTTTACATTAAGATAGGAAACAAAGTCAGTAGCGCTAATACCAGATTTAAGACTGTATACATTCTCTAATTTTGTTGGAATTTATATTGGAATATATTACAATTTTGTTAGTATTTATAGTTGTTTTATTTTTACCATAAATGTTAACTGTCGATATACCTATAACAGCATATAGGTCTATTGCATGAGAGTTGAAGAAAGGCAAATATGCAAACTAATATTTCTATTACGATCTATTCTATTGCAATTGTGTATCGCCAGATCAGTGATCGCCACTGACCACTGACTAAACTCAAACGCGACACCCCAGTTAGCTCAGCGGCCACGTTGTATACAGTGGAGTGGAGTATTTTAAAAAGAAATTCAGGGGAAAGAAAAACAATTTCATATTTCGTTTTCTACACTTAAATAGTATTACGTAGTATAAAGAAAATGCAATTGGCAGTGTACCAATTATACCATTAAACCAATACCTTTACCCATGTATGGTATGCTTGTGTGTTTGAGCCTTAAGGAAGTTTCCACTTCACTCTTCAGTAGCGTGTTGTTCGTTGTATGATTAAATACACTTTAGCCCTGTTCGGGTTTGAAAAAAGGTCGGTTCTAGAACGGTTGAAAACAATCGCACAGTTCATTATTGAAATTTGTGATAGCCGAGCCGTTGTCATTTTTGTTGCTTGATAAACTGTGCGACTATTTTGAACCGTTCTAGAACCGTAGAACCCTCCTAGAACAGGGCTGTTGTATTTTTTTTATATCTTTGTTGTTTGGAGTGACAACTTCTGTAGGCGCAGACACATTTTTTTCCTCGGTACTGGATAGTGAATGAGATTGAATTGAGCCGTCACCCGTCACGTGCGAATAGGTAACGCTCGGGCACTGCCTCCTATACTTAACAAGCCATGAAGTTGGAAATGACGGCAACGTCGCGTATGGTGCTATTTTGTTATTGGGTTATGTGTTTCTGTGTATTGCTTTCATTGTGTATTGTTGCAGTTTAGTATTTTTGTGGGCATTATTGACGAAAAAGTGGATAGAAACACACCAATATATTGCCCATATTTAGTTGATACCTGTTCCTTTGTGCTTTGATTGCAATTTTTAAGCAAATGGGTACAGGAGCAAAAATGAAGGTAAGGTGAGATAAAACAATAAAAACAATATTAATATTTGTCTGCAAGAGCATATCGTCGGTCTCCTTACGTAGTGGCGTAACTAGCTTTTCACAAATTTTCCAGTAGACGCAAAAAACGAAAATGGAGCATATTTATATCGGTGTTCAATTGTTTCTACTGAAGGTGGCCTAAATTGTGTTTTTTTATCAAAATGCTTAACTATTCCTGCTTCTTTTAAGCATAACATTTTTGTTATCAGCTGATCAGCTTGCAAGTAAAAAACATGTTTATACAGATACGCCAATTTGTAAAAATATATTTTTTTTATGTTTACATTTACGCCTATAAGATCGTGTAGGGAAAAAGTGATACAGATTCATAATATTATACTTTTATTTTAATAGCTATTTATGTACCAAGGGGATTATGTAGATTATAATGCCCGAAGGCGAAACTAGCCCGAGGGCCTATGGCTCGAGGGATATATTTCGCCTGAAGGGCATTATAATCTTGAAATCCCCGTGGTGCATACAATGCTTTGTTTTCTACTCAACACAATGTTTTTTCATCAATTTATTATTAACAAAATCAGTTAAACTTGTGTGACAGAATATTGTTTTGTATTTTGACATGTACCTGTACCTGTGACCTGTACCTGTACCTGCGACCTGTACATAGAAACGAAATAAATTAATATATCTATAAACATCTCATAAGGCAAGGCAACGGTGGTGGTCCTGTGGGTTAACGCGCTGGACTACATGGGAAACGTTGATGGTAGACCGGGTTCGAATCCTGGCTAGACCAAAAATTATTTTCGGTCAGACATTTAGTGGCTGCCTAGGGTAAAGTGCAAATTAATAGAACAACAACAACAAAAACACCTTAAGGTATTATAAGCGGGCGTTATAGATCATAACGCCCGCAAAAGCGGGCGTTATGGATCAGGTTGTTATAGGTGTGTTAACGTATTTCGTTTCCTAGGTATTATGGATCTATAATAGTAAAGTAGAAAATAAAAAATTATTCATTCTTTACAATGGCTAATGAAAAGGGAAAAAAATCATTCTTTAAAAAAAATGAAAACAGTTTGAATCTGATTCTTTTTATTTGGAAAAACAACAAAAAACAGCACTATTATTTTTCGTCTTCTTCGTGCGGCAAAGAGTAAAAGAAGTTTTGAAGTTCGGGTGTGCGTATTACCGCTGTTCTGTTTCTGCCAGATGGTTTACAAAGAGCAGTTAAATCTTCATATTTCTTTCTGGAAATTTTAATTTGTTCTTATTCAAATTATCAATAATTAGATGGCTTATTCCACCACGTTGTTTAAGCACAATTTTATCATAACTTTCTTCAGCGTGGCTATATTTAAAGAAAATGCTCATCGGTTCTTCTTTATTGACACTAAGATCCATAATCTCGGTCCATTTTAAAGATCTGTTTTTCTCGCTTTGTCTTACAGATATAAATAGTCTTAGATTTTTCGAAAATGTTTTGAAATCAAGAAAATCTCCAAAACTCATTGGAATAACAGTGTACGGCTTAGGTTGTGTTCTTGCACCTCGAATGACTGGGTATAGTTGTGACGGTACAAAGAGGTCACCATAATGTGCCAGCGCGTAACCAATAGCACTGTGGGCGCTATCACCTTCGTTTTGTCCGTAATTGGTTCCAAAAAATTTCAAACTAATATTTTTAATAGTATTTTGCCAACGAATACTGCAACATGGATGCTACAACCGAATGTTTGTTCTGGCCGTAGCACCCATCACAGAAGAGTTCTATGGTATGTACTCCTTTTCCGACGTATTGGCCAATTGCTTTGAATAGACAAGTTGCAATTTCAGTCGACCCACGTTTCCCGTTTGTTTCGTCCCAGACAAAGCAGGAACATTCTCTGGTGGCTACATTCTAAAAAGTGAAATCAAAAACTGACATCCTCGACTTATAGAAAATTGCAGACTCCTGTGAAATGGGTAAGTAAATCACCTGTTGAAGATCAAAAACCGCGCAAAGGATATCTGAATCAGTCTTTGCCTTTTCTTTACTTTCACTTTTTTTCTGTCTCACTAGTTGTTTCTCTAAAATGTGTTTCTCGTATTTATCTTTTAAATCTTCTTTAATAGCAGCGTCTCCCTCTTTGAAGGATAAGCAAAGTGAGCACTGATCTTTCTTTGGCCTTAAAAACGACAGATTCTTCGCCTTGAAAATTCTTCGATAAGTAGTTAAACTTGGAATGTATCAAAAAAGTGACACGACGTAAAGGCGTAAATTGATTTACGCCAATACGTGAGAAACACTTTAAAGGTTTATGCACTTACGCCATATCTTAGTAATGGCATTGCAAGCATAGTATTAGAAATACAGTTACGCTACTTTGTGAGATTGAAAAGCACCCCAAAATAATACCTAAGGCGGCGTATCTCAAAATCTCAATTTTTGTCAGTTACGCCACTACGTAAGGAGACCGACGATATGTCTCGATATATTACCTAAGATATTTAAACTTGTTCCAGATGCCATGAAACTACTGTGTTCCTGGGTGCAAATCGAACTATTAGGAGTTCCTTAAAAACTGAAGAAGTGCCAACATTTTCATTTCCAAAAAAATTCTGAATTGCAAAAAATGTGGATGAAAGCAATACACCAAGATAATTATACCCGAGATTATACAATAACGAAAAATTCTGTGGTGTGTTGTAAACATTTTGAAGAAACCGAAATAATTAGATTTGAAACAAACAAGGATAAAGGCGTAGTTCGAGAGTTCAAACTGAAACGTCCAACTCTTAAAAGTAGGTACCTCTTACTTTCGAAAATCAGCTCAAGTATTTGAATGGACCTGCCTTCCGAAAAAATCCCGAAGAAAGAAAAAGTTAGATTTTTCAAAAGACATACTGAAACATAAACATAGGCCTATAACACTTTAGACTCTAGAAATATATTCATTTAAATCAATTATTTACTGTTCTTATTTACACAAATAGTTATATTATTCATTGAATTACTGTTTTTGGCCCTTTAGTACAATAAATTATGCATTTTTCGTGATTCATATTATTAAAATCAAAAATATATATTTATAAAAACAAGCACCACCAGCACCACTTGGCGGTAAGATTGCGGTGTTGCCTTTTTAACTTCATGGCTTGTTAAATGTAGGAGGCTGTGGCTCGGGTAAAGGCGGCTCGATTCAATTTCAGCCAAGCGAGAGAGAGAAACAGTCAGTAGTGCGAGAAAGATAGCGAATGCAATCCAACCAAGGATATTACGGACTACAGTAGAACCCCGATTATCCTAGCTGGTTTAATCAAGCCCATCTAAATACCCGAAGACCCTGATTTTTCGAGATACGCGCGTCTATACTCCTTATTAAACGTGTTTCTTAAAAACATATATACATATGTACATTCGGATTTCCGAGTATTCAGTTATCCAAGGAGGATGCCTACCACGTTACCTCCGATAACCAGGGTTCTACTTACTAGGATTGCTTATCGACCTCGATTTTTGAAATCTTGGCGATTGGTGTAGTACCATTGCCGACGTCATCAACGGTGTCGTCACTGGCTTGCGCCAGCGGTCGTAGTTTAAAATATCATTTTTCTACAGCCGTGCGGAAATCAATTTTCCTCACCGATACCCGTGCGGAAAATTAGTTTTCCCGCACGGATACCGGTGCGAAATTTTTTTTTTCGCACGGCTGTAAAAAAAAAAATTATAAATTACTACAAATTATGTAGGTATACTTATTTCCGCACGTCTGTAGAAAAACTATTGTACCTAACACTTGTGGAAAATTGAACTTCGTTGACCAGTCAGAAACAACTACTCCGAGGGAAAATACCCCTACCGGCGTTGAACTACACTGATTGGTCTGAGCTTTCGTTGGCAATGAAAATTGTTAGAAAGATTTTTTCAGGTTGTGACCAACGTGAATACAGGGACACACGGTCCCTGTTTGGGAATCGACCCACTGAGCAGTGGACCCAGACTTCCCGTGCCAATCCTTGACGCGTTTCGTCCTTGTTAGGACCCATCAGAAGGACATAGGCTGAACAAATGTATAAGTATAGTTACTCTATAATTCAATCTATTTTTCTGTCAGATCTTCTCTTTTAGCAACATTAATCAATTTTTCTCTTCTTTCTTGAGCTATAGACGTATTCACGATAGAGTTTGAATTTTGACCGTTATTTTCACCAGTTGAAAATAAATAAAATCCCCAGATCTGTCCCTTTTTCTGACAACTATCAAATAATGATACATGACATTTTGATTTGACACATAAAAATATCAGATTCGGGTCTTTGAATTTTGATTTTCGAATTTTTGTGTGAAATCGTTCAGTTTTTTGCCGTTTTCTGCATTATTTTTTTATTCTATCGCAATCGTTTTCTCTGTAGTGTTATGTGCCTTTGTGTTTCGGTGTTGCGTTTCAAACCTGGTTTTAGTTTGGATTTTAAGTGTTTACTCTTTTTATAAGTGTTTACTTTGGACTCTAATTTTAGGATTTTTGGATTTTAATAACTTAACTTCCTTTAAAGAAATTGAAAATAAATTTTTATTCTGAAATGTATATCACTTTTCTAAATACGACCCTGTCGTTTATCCCGGCTGACGGAATCGAAGCGCTAACGCATGCTGACAACCTAAAGAAAAAGTTTACTAAAATGTCAACGCGAACTGTCAACATCACTTTCTATCGTGATTTAGGGCGGGTATTATAAAACTACTTTGAGAGTTAACTTAAAGTTAACTTCTGGAATTACATGTACTATCGTCACCAAAAGTAACTGGGACAGCATCACCTTAGGCGTATTTTAGCGACAGGTAAACATCATACTACACATACTACGATTCATGACGTCATAGTTACCCAAATAACAGGTGGAGTGTATTTGACAAAGGGTCTAAGAGAGGACGCCATGATCGTTGTTTATTTGGATTTGTTGAATTTTGTAAAATTTAGCGTTTTCAAGTTTCAATATTATTTCTCCAGTGAAGATTTTCTATTTTTTTGCAAAAAACCTCTAAAATAATATCACAGAAAACCATGGCAAAATGAGGAAAAACAATCCTCTATTTATAATGGAAAGAACTGTGTCAATAATCGTAGCGTAATCAGCTGATATTTTGCCCATATGCTCATTTTCGTGTATTAGAAAAAGATGCACTGACATACTACAACCAGTAACTATCCCTCCTAGGATGTTTACATGTTTACAGCCGAGTTTTATGTTGTGTTTTATGTTGTGACGTCATAGTATGTTAGCCATGCTCGCTAAAATGTAGTATCCCAAGTAAATACAACATACTACTGGGTTAAAACTCTCGCTAAAATACGCCTATTAGCTCTTGTCCTATTATATGAATTTTAGGCGTATTTTAGCGACAGGTAAACATCATACTACACATACTACGATTCATGACGTCATAGTTACCCAAATAACAGGTGGAGTGTATTTGACAAAGGGTCTAAGAGAGGACGCCATGATCGTTGTTTATTTGGATTTGTTGAATTTTGTAAAATTTAGCGTTTTCGAGTTTCAATATTTTCTCCAGTGAAGATTTTCGATAGATTGTGGTATTTTTCAATTTTATGGGAACCCTATGCCAAAAAAAAATAAAATTACACTTTTGTGCACAACTGAAGATTTTTAATTTTTTTTGCAAAAAAACTCTAAAATAAAATCACAGAAAACCATGGCAAAATGAGGAAAAACAATCCTCTATTTATAATGGAAAGAACTGTGTTGGTAATCGTAGCGTAATCAGCTGATGTTTTGCCCATATGCTCATTTTTGTGTATTAGAAAAAGATGCACTGACATACTACAACCAGTAACTATCCCTCCTAGGATGTTTACATGTTTACAGCCGAGTTTTATGTTGTGTTTTATGTTGTGACGTCATAGTATGTTAGCCATGCTCGCTAAAATGTAGTATCCCAAGTAAATACAACATACTACTGGGTTAAAACTCTCGCTAAAATACGCCTTATATTGTCAAATATTTGTCAAACTATGCATTAAATCACAGCCTCCTATAGTTAACAAGCCATGAAATTGGAAATGACGGCAACGTCGCGTATGGTGCTATTTTGTTATTGGGTTATGTGTTTCTGTGTATTGCTTTCATTGTGTATTGTTGCAATTTAGTATTTTTATGGGCATTATTGACGAAAAAGTGGATAGAAACACACCAATATATTGCCCATATTTAGTTGATACCTGTTCCTTTGTGCTTTGATTGCAAATTTTTAGCAAATGGGTACAGGAGCAAAAATGAAGGTAAGGTAAGGTAAAACAATAAAAACAATATTAATATTTGTCTGCAAGAGCATAGGTCTCGATATATTACCTAAGATATTTAAACTTGTTCCAGATGCCATGAAACTACTGTGTTCCTGGGTGCAAATCGAACTATTAGGAGTTCCTTAAAAACTGAAGAAATGCAAACATTTTTATTTCCAAAAAAAATTGTGAAGTGCAAAAAATGTGGATGAAAGCAATACACCAAGATAATTATACCCGAGATTATACAGTAACGAAAAATTCTGTGGTGTGTTGTAAACATTTTGAAGAAACCGAAATAATTAGATTTGAAACAAACAAGGATAAAGGCGTAGTTCGAGAGTTCAAACTAAAACGTCCAACTCTTAAAAGTAGGTACCTCTTATTTTCGAAAATCAGCTCAAGTATTTGAATGGACTTGCCTTCCGAAAAAATCCCGAAGAAAGAAAAAGTTAGATTTTCAAATGACATACTGAAACATAGGCCTATAACACTTTAGACTCTAGAAATATATTCATTTAAATCAATTATTTACTGTTCTTATTTACACAAATAGTTAAATTATTCATTCAATTACTGTTTTTGGCCCTTTAGTACAATAAATTATGTATTTTTTGTGATTCATATTAATAAAATAAAAAATATATATTTATACAAACAAACACCACCAGCACCACTTGGCGTTAAGATTGCGGTGTTGCCTTTTTAACTTCATGGCTTGTTAAATGTAGGGGGCTGTGATTAAATGCATTGAAATGAATGACAGTAGAATTAGTCCAGGAGATTATTATGCATTATTTGTGTCCCAGTTACTTTTGGTGACGATGGTAATTCAAAAAAATAACTTTAAGTTAACTGTCAAAGCAGTTTTATAATACCCGCCTTAGTCTATAACAAATCAAACCTCCCATTGTTATTTGAAATTGATGGAAACCTATGGAAGGATATTGTATCCCTTGCGCTATACTGCCAGAATTAACAACTAAACAAACTCTAGGCATGTCTAAGAAACTTCTGCACCACACAAAAAGTATTTAATCAAAAAAATCTAACTAAAAACCTTAAAATCCACTGTATAAGTGTATATATCTTTGTTTTACAATTTTACCTCAAGGCGACTGTCAATAGGGTCAAACTGTCAGATCGTGTACTTGCCCTATACAATAGCCGCTTTCCAGCTGACGCTTTTGAGCACGCAATCGAGCTTTTGCGCGCTCAAATTCTTCAAGCGCGTGTTCGTGTTCCAGCCATACTGCACTTCGAGAGCTGCTAACTTTTGCGTTTCAAACACAGAACATTGTGCTGCACCGTGCTTGAAGCACACAGCTGGAAAGCGGCTAATATGCACACATCTCACTGCCATTAGTGCCATTTTTAAAATTGTAGTGTTAAGAACTTCAATCTGTGGAACTTGCGTCGCAATTCATGACTGTCATTTAAACGCCTAATTACGTTCAGAAATAGCGCACCCAGAGTGCACTCGAAGTGATGACGTCAGAGCACACTGACAAACAACTACTTTCACACTCCATCTCTAAACGCACTCCAGAGTATCAAGAAATGTCATTGGTATTAACTCTGGTGTTTTCATCACACTCCGGTTAAACACACCGCAGCTCCGGTGTCAAAGGTCAATTCGGTATATCATTTCTGTAACCGGGGACTATAAAAACACGGTTGGTATCCCCAGTTAACTAATTATGTTGTTAAGTTTTAACAAAAGTAGTGGTACTTGTATTCAACAAGGATTTTAACCAAGCAATTGAAAAACCGTCTATTGAGGGAAAGTAACTAAATTTAGGTTGGCAACACCAATTTTTGCCTCATTTCAGATTCATAATAGATTATTTCGCGGTCATGTCTCACTATTTTTGGCCTTCTTGCAGCTGAACCTTCAACCTTCATGTTCAGACGAGGTATATCTTGCTCGACACGGTGAAACCTATCCATCTTTCACGATTTAGTTAGATTTAACTGACCATTAAAAAGTTAACTGTTCATGAATACGGCAGTAAGGCCTGTGTATTTTAAATCTCAAGCCTCCCAAAGTACCACTGATGACGTAGGGTTTGCACAACCAGGCTACGATTCTGCTGGCTTCTGCTTTACATGAATATTTTGTACTCTTTTCAACATTCTAAGGCCCGCTTTATTCATCTTCAGATAAACTTTCTAATAGACTGATAACTATATGCAAGATAAATTTACCGTTCTATGATTCTATTGGTTGGCGGATAACTGGCCAACCAATGAGATTATAGATTGCGTTTTTATTCGGCAGATTGCATAACTGAGAGATTATCAGAAGGTGAATAAACCCACCCTAAAACAAACCTTTTTCAGATCTAGTTTGCCTCAAAATAGATAATATTTTTCATGATAAATAGCTATTTACCTAACAAGTGCGGAAAAACATTTTCCACAAGTTGTTAGAAAGATTTTTTCAGGTTATGACCAACGTGAATACAGGGACACAACGGTCCCTGTTTGGGAATCGACCCACTGAGCAGTGGACCCAGACTTCCCGTGCCAATCCTTGACGCGTTTCGTCCTTGTTAGGACTCATCAGAAGGACATAGGCTGAAGCTCCCTGTCCAAGCAAAATTGAACTTCGTTGACCAGTCAGAAACAACTACTTCGAGTCTGGGTCCACTGCTCAGTGGGTCGATTCCCAAACAGGGACCGTTGTGTCCCTGTATTCACGTTGGTCACAACCTGAAAAAATCGTTCTAACAATTTTCATTGCCAACGAAAGCTCAGACCAATCAGTGTAGTTCAACGCCGATAGGGGTATTTGCCCTCGGAGTAGTTGTTTCTGACTGGTCAACGAAGTTCAATTTTGCTTGGACAGGGAGCTTCAGCCTATGTCCTTCTGATGAGTCCTAATAAGGACGAAACGCGTCAAGGATTGGCACGGGAAGTCTGGGTCCACTGCTCAGTGGGTCGATTCCCAAACAGGGACCGTTGTGTCCCTGTATTCACGTTGGTCATAACCTGAAAAAATCTTTCTAACAACTTGTGGAAAATGTTTTTCCGCACTTGTTAGGTAAATAGCTATTTATCATGAAAAATATTATCTATTTTGAGGCACACTAGATCTGAAAAAGGTTTGTTTTAGGGTGGGTTTATTCACCTTCTGATAATCTCTCAGTTATGCAATCTGCCGAATAAAAACGCAATCTATAATCTCATTGGTTGGCCAGTTATCCGCCAACCAATAGAATCATAGAACGGTAAATTTATCTTGCATATAGTTATCAGTCTATTAGAAAGTTTATCTGAAGATGAATAAACCGGGCCTTAGAATGTTGAAAAGAGTACAAAATATTCATGTAAAGCAGAAGCCAGCAGAATCGTAGCCTGGTTGTGCAAACCCTACGTCATCAGTGGTACTTTGGGAGGCTTGAGATTTAAAATACACAGGCCTTACTGCCGTATTCATGAACAGTTAACTTTTTAATGGTCAGTTAAATCTAACTAAATCGTGAAAGATGGATAGGTTTCACCGTGTCGAGCAAGATATACCTCGTCTGAACATGAAGGTTGAAGGTTCAGCTGCAAAAAGGCCAAAAATAGTGAGACATGACCGCGAAATAATCTATTATGAATCTGAAATGAGGCAAAAATTGGTGTTGCCAACCTAAATTTAGTTACTTTCCCTCAATAGACGGTTTTTCAATTGCTTGGTTAAAATCCTTGTTGAATGCAAGTACCACTACTTTTGTTAAAACTTAACAACATAATTAGTTAACTGGGGATACCAACCGTGTTTTTATAGTCCCCGGTTACAGAAATGATATACCGAATTGACCTTTGACACCGGAGCTGCGGTGTGTTTAACCGGAGTGTGATGAAAACACCAGAGTTAATACCAATGACATTTCTTGATACTCTGGAGTGCGTTTAGAGATGGAGTGTGAAAATAGTTCTTTGTCAGTGTGCTCTGACGTCATCACTTCGAGTGCACTCTGGGTGCGCTATTTCTGAACGTAATTAGGCATTTAAATGACAGTCATGAATTGCGACGCAAGTTCCACAGATTGAAGTTCTTAACACTACAATTTTAAAAATGGCAATAATGGCAGTGAGATGTGTGCATATTAGCCGCTTTCCAGCTGTGTGCTTCAAGCACGGTGCAGCACAATGTTCTGTGTTTGAAACGCAAAAGTTAGCAGCTCTCGAAGTGCAGTATGGCTGGAACACGAACACGCGCTTGAAGAATTTGAGCGCGCAAAAGCTCGATTGCGTGCTCAAAAGCGTCAGCTGGAAAGCGGCTATTGTATAGGGCAAGTACACGATCTGACAGTTTGACACTATTGACAGTCGCCTTGAGGTAAAATTGTAAAACAAAGATATACAGTAAGGGGCAGGCTACTAGGTATATAGAATCCAACTTGACGAATTTACGATCGTCCGCAGCCGTTTGAACACCTGGGGCCCAATTCTCGAATTACGATTTTCCAATGTCGCGTACGAGAATCGCATATCTCGATACCTTTTGGCATAACCCAATTCTCGAATGTCACCTTCGCCTTTTTCTGATCGACATAATTACGAGTGGGTAAGACCACGCGGGATGAGATCACGAATCGTCAATTTTATTTATTTTTGTCATAAAAATGGCTGATTACGAAGAAATCAAGTTTTTAGCGGCTATTGGAAATCTTGCGATTCCAGTAGAAAATAATAGATTTCCTAGGAGATTCAATGAGTATAGCGTATAGCGTTCAATTTTATGTATCTGTGCCTTTCTGTGAAAAACTGTCGATTAACTAAAGGATTAACATGGGGCTTAATTAAGTTGGTGCGACCCTATATAAAGGATAGTACTAGAGCTTCTTTAATTTCTATTGAAGCCAATTGTTGTATTCCTTTCAAGAGTTTGGAACACCCAAGCTACTCGCTCCGTTGTTAGTTGGCCCCGATTTGGAAGGAACAGATGCGTGGTGCAACAAACACTTTTCGAAAGGAATAAGCGCGTAACGCCCTGGAGCTCTTTCGGAGCTCCTCCTAGGTGTGAACGGAATAAAACTAATGTAAGCATGTTCACTTTTTAAAGACCTTCATATATTCTTCTATTTTCCACTTCTTTACCACGAATCGTAATCTTTATCGCACAAAATAGGACCTACAACTTATATTTTTTCAAGAAAAAATCCACTTTTATTTTGAAAGATCAAAAAATGTCACACTTTACAGTTGTCAAAAACGTGCCAAATACTATAAAATTAGATGTTGCCATGTTTAAACATTCGACAATTGTCGAATGCGTCATTTAAATTCGCATACCGACCGAGAATAGAGTTTAGGATTCGCGTTCGACATTCAGATGCGTGATTTGTCGATTGCGAGATTTTTAGTCGTAACTGGAGAATTGGGCCCCTGGGGCCCAATTCTCGAATTACGATTTTCCAATGTCGCGTACGAGAATCGCATATCTCGATACCTTTTGGCATAACCCAATTCTCGAATGTCACCTTCGCCTTTTTCTGATCGACATAATTACGAGTGGGTAAGACCACGCGGGATGAGATCACGAATCGTCAATTTTATTTATTTTTGTCATAAAAATGGCTGATTACGAAGAAATTAAGTTTTTAGCGGCTATTGAAAATCTTGCGATTCCAGTAGAAAATAATAGATTTCCTAGGAGATTCAATGAGTATAGCGTATAGCGTTCAATTTTATGTATCTGTGCCTTTCTGTGAAAAACTGTCGATTAACTAAAGGATTAACATGGGGCTTAATTAAGTTGGTGCGACCCTATATAAAGGATAGTACTAGAGCTTCTTTAATTTCTATTGAAGCCAATTGTTGTATTCCTTTCAAGAGTTTGGAACACCCAAGCTACTCGCTCCGTTGTTAGTTGGCCCCGATTTGGAAGGAACAGATGCGTGGTGCAACAAACACTTTTCGAAAGGAATAAGCGCGTAACGCCCTGGAGCTCTTTCGGAGCTCCTCCTAGGTGTGAACGGAATAAAACTAATGTAAGCATGTTCACTTTTTAAAGACCTTCATATATTCTTCTATTTTCCACTTCTTTACCACGAATCGTAATCTTTATCGCACAAAATAGGACCTACAACTTATATTTTTTCAAGAAAAAATCCACTTTTATTTTGAAAGATCAAAAAATGTCACACTTTACAGTTGTCAAAAACGTGCCAAATACTATAAAATTAGATGTTGCCATGTTTAAACATTCGACAATTGTCGAATGCGTCATTTAAATTCGCATACCGACCGAGAATAGAGTTTAGGATTCGCGTTCGACATTCAGATGCGTGATTTGTCGATTGCGAGATTTTTAGTCGTAACTGGAGAATTGGGCCCCTGGGGCCCAATTCTCGAATTACGATTTTCCAATGTCGCGTACGAGAATCGCATATCTCGATACCTTTTGGCATAACCCAATTCTCGAATGTCACCTTCGCCCTTTTCTGATCGACATAATTACGAGTGGGTAAGACCACGCGGGATGAGATCACGAATCGTCAATTTTATTTATTTTTGTCATAAAAATGGCTGATTACGAAGAAATTAAGTTTTTAGCGGCTATTGAAAATCTTGCGATTCCAGTAGAAACTAATAGATTTCCTAGGAGATTCTATGAGTATAGAAACGCGTTCAATTTTATGTATCAGTGCCTTTCTGTGAAAAACTGTCGATTAACTAAAGGATTAACATGTGGCTTATTTGAGTTGGTGCGACCCTATATAAAGGATAGTACTAAAGCTTCTTTAATTTCTATTCAAGCCAATTGTTGTATTCCTTTCAAGAGTTTGGAACGCCCAAGCTACTCGCTCCGTTGTTAGTTTGCCCCGATTTGGGAGGAACAGATACGTGGTGCAACAAACACTTTTCGAAAGGAATAAGCGCGTAACGCCCTGGAGCTCTTCCGGAGCTCCTCCTAGGTGTGAAAGGAATAAAACTAATGTAAGCATGTTCCC